GTATAAAGAATCGATCGGACCAAAAATTTACATATTTTCAAAGATATGGACCAAAGTTTTGTGTTTTTTTTTTTATAAAGAATGGATCTTGTTGTTGTGTTTTTATATTTCTGTGAATTTTGACACTGAAATTGTTTGTGTGGTTTTTTTTGGGAAATGGAGATGGGTGGAGCACGATCCAATGGAGATACTGGAGAGTGTGAAAGTGTGTATTGCAAAGGCTATAGACAAAGCTACTGCTGATGGACACAACGTAGACGGTGGCTTGAAAGCCATTGGTCTAACTGATCAGAGAGAGACCACTGTTGTCTGGAGCAAATCCACTGGTCTTCCTCTCCACAAAGCAATCGTCTGGATGGATGCTCGCACCAGCTCGATCTGCAGGTAACATAATCAGAAGCCATTAGATTTTTCTCTGTGTTCTTGAATGGTTCTTTAATGGGTTGATAAAGCGTGTGTATTCTGTTTTTGAGGGACTTTGGTTTGTTTCTGATGTGAATTCACAGGAGATTAGAGAAGGAACTATCAGGAGGAAGGTCTCATTTTGTGGAGTCTTGTGGCTTACCGATAAGTACTTACTTCTCTGCAATGAAGCTGCTTTGGTTGATGGAGAATGTGGATGCTGTCAAAGACGGTATCAAGTCAGGAGATGCGATCTTTGGCACGATCGATACTTGGTTGATTTGGAACATGACTGGTGGTGTGAATGGCGGGTTACATGTCACTGATGTAACAAATGCTTCTCGGACAATGCTCATGAACCTCAAAACCTTGAGTTGGGACGAAGAAACTTTGAAGACTCTAGGCATACCAGCTGCGATTTTGCCTAAAATCGTAAGCAACTCAGAAGTCATCGGAGAAATCTGTAAAGGATGGCCTATTCCTGGGATCAAGATTGCTGGATGTCTCGGCGATCAACACGCTGCCATGTTAGGACAAGCGTGCAGAAAGGGAGAGGCCAAGAGTACTTACGGAACAGGAGCGTTCATTCTTCTCAACACAGGAGAAGTTCCCATCAAATCAGGACACGGGCTTCTGACTACTCTGTCCTACAAGTTAGGCCCTCAAGCAGTGACAAACTACGCACTCGAGGGATCAATTGCTATCGCGGGAGCTGCTGTACAATGGCTTAGGGACAGCCTCGGGATCATAAAGAGCGCGAGTGAGATCGAAGAATTGGCTGCAATGGTGGATTCAACAGGAGGAGTATACTTTGTGCCAGCATTCAACGGCTTGTTTGCGCCTTGGTGGAGAGAAGACGCTCGTGGTGTGTGCATCGGGATTACAAGGTTCACTAACAAGTCTCATATCGCACGGGCTGTGCTAGAGAGCATGTGTTTCCAAGTGAAAGATGTGCTTGATTCGATGAACAAAGATGCGGGTGAAAAGGGTTCTCTCAATAACGATAAAGGAGAGTTCTTACTTAGAGTTGATGGTGGTGCCACTGCCAACAACCTTCTGATGCAGATTCAGGTTTGATCACTATCCTCTTTTTGTATATGAATCTGTTGAGTTTAGTTTAGTTTTGTTTCGAACAATATTTAACCTCATTCTCCTTCAAAACATTGCAGGCTGATTTGATGGGAACTCCAGTGGTGAGGCCAGTGGACATAGAGACAACAGCACTAGGAGCAGCCTATGCAGCTGGTTTGGCAGTTGGATTCTGGAAGGAAGAAGACATATTCGAGTCGGGAGAGAAGGCAAAGAACTCGAAAGTTTTCAGACCAAATATGGAAGAGGCAACAAGGAAGAAGAAAGTTGAGTCATGGTGCAAAGCCGTCGAAAGGACATTTGATCTCGCTGATCTCTCTATCTAAAACTTGCAACTATTATTATCCTTGAAACCAACATTGTCTTTCTCATAGATTCCTTATTATTTCACCACAGTTTGTGCTCTGTCTCTTAAACTCACATTATGTTTTAACGTCTAATATATGTTGGTTAAACTGTCTTTGAATTTGAATGATTGATATAAATCAATTATTTGTTGTTGGAAGTAAAATTGCATCAGAATAAGTCATGAAAGGGGTTCTTCTTGTTCTACTTCAATAGATTCAGAGGGCTTAATAAGCTCCTTTGCAAGAAAATGGTATGTTAATGAGCCTTGTCTCGACAATAAAATGGGCTCTACTCTACGTTGTTGTGTTTTTCTTTTTTTATTGGAGTCAACTTTTCAACCTTGTTTTAATATGGGTCATTGTTAGCTTGATATTCTTGTTTATCAAACGAATATTTCTTTAAATATGTAACCATTTAAAGAAGTTTTTTATAACTTGTTATAGGTTTCTGGTCCAAAGAATTGTAAACAGCTTGGTTATTAAAAAGGTCGATTTCTAATAATTTACTCATTCTCTCCCGTTATATAAGATTTTCTAGATAAAAACGCAGAATTTAACAATAATATAACTGTTAGTTTTTATTTTTTATTTTACATTAAAATCATTATTTAATATCTAACTACAAATAAATTAACCAATAAGAATAAATCCTGTAGAATATTAATGATCATAATACATTAAATTTTACATAAAAACTAGAAAAAATCTTATAATATGAAACAAAATAAAAACCCTAAAATATCTTATATTTTGGGACAGAGGAAGTATTTGTTAGAGCTCTTAGTTTTTTTGTTAAGGAGAATAAACTAATAGCCTAACAAATAAATTATCAGATATTGGTATTGATGCAGCGAGATATTTGGAATATTTTCAAATGTCATTATTATCTATTTAATTATTTAGATTTATATTTTAATGAATATATTTTAGAATATTCTAGAATGTTCTAGGGATTTTAAAATTTTTTATGTTTTATTATAAATAGCCTTCTTAGGTCTCCTATTGTATTCAGTTGATTGATTAATAAAATTAAAGAGCTTTTAGCTTTTCATAGAATAATATTTTCGAACATTTGTTTTCGGTAGATCTAGGGAGATCTCAACGAATCCAGAAACGCATTGATCTTAGATATTCTCAAACTAAATAAGATCATTGCATCTATCGAGCTACCGCTACGTCAGTTGGTATAGCTGATGCAGCGCAGATACAAGATTCGAGGACGGATATTTTCTTGGCCGGCGAGACCTGATGGAGCGAG